CACGTAGACCGGTTGGGTGAGCTCCCATGCACCCTCCAGGACCCTGCTGAGGGTGTAGAGCTGGTCCAGTGTTCCACGACCAGTTCGACTATCCGACGGACCCTCCTCTCCAGGACCCCTGAATAGACCTTACCAGGGAGGCTTAAGAGTGTGACCCCCCTGTAATTGGAGCACACCATAATAATAATAATTTTAAAACATACAACTGATGCGACTGAAGCCAAAAAGCTCCAGTTTTGTCTCTTTAGTCCCAAAAACTTTCATCAAAATACCATTTTGGATTTTGAGTGTGTCTGTATGTGTGTCTGTAAGTGTGTGTGGATGTGTGTGTTTGTAGCATATCTTGATCAAGGAGTTTAGTTTGAATAGTTTTGGATGGTCTCCTTGGATCTTTTTCTACTTTCCTAATTATCCGTCAGAGCAACCTGGTGCTGTATTTCCACTACCAAGAGCGATCTCAAGACCATTTTCTGATGGTCTCGTTTTGGACTTGACCATATTTGTACGTGGTCTTTTCTCAGTCTTGGACATTGAGGACTCTGGATTTTATTCCAAGACCAGTCAAGATCACAACTGTGGAACTATCACTACGATGTTTCATTTCTTTTTTCTTTAATAGCTATTTTTAAAATAAAATCTCAATGACCAAAAGTTCACGGCCCCTTCAACATATACATCTATCATCTTTTTGAGCTCAAACATCTCTCGTCTTTGTTTTCTGCTACATGATCAGCGTACAACACACAACACCAAACTACCCACTGGCTATTTGCTCCCTTTTAAATAGGCTGAATGGCAGCTGAAAGCTTAAAGGTACACATACAACTTAAGGTCAAACACTTCATTTGAATCAGGACTATATAATGCAAAGAGTAAGGATTTTAACAAACCTGTCTATATTCTAGCAGAGTTTTGTAAACTAACCAACAAATCATTTCGTTTTACTACAGTATTTTTGTTTAATCCAACACACACTAAAGACATACATTAAACAACTCAGTTCAACTGAAACACTTTTCACCAGAACTGAAGCACAGATTGACTTAACTGTAAGGGTACCAACACGTTTACCTTTATAACTCAATATTACTTTCCCCAACAAAATGGGACCTTAAGATAAATCCTAACATTATGTGTTTACCATGATTCTTTTCTATATTTGCTGCTTTCATGGGACAAAGGTGATGTGAGGGAGGGTCAGGTGATAAGGCAACATTATAAGGAGTACTACTGAGCAAAGAACTTTCCCTTTTAAATTATATGCTCTATTAAATGTTTTTTTGTGATTTTAAAGGTCAAGACAATTATTTTATTCCCAATTTTGGTGGTATTTTATGGTTCAATGGTGTACAATTATTGAGGCGGATGGAACAGTTGAAATCCAGGAATAGCAACAAGAAACGCAATTTAGCCTTAATGTAAAATGAAGTCTAACTTTTGTTTTTCTTCCTGTTGAGTTCATGTTTCACTTCAAATCAAAAGACAAACAAATGCATTTGCTTAGCTTACAAGTCCTGAGTCCAGAATTCAGAAATATCACATCTGGTGCCATGTTGCTTTATAATGGGGCCTTATAATGTTGTAAAAAATAACTTTTGACTGAGTTGTGAGTAACAGCCAGCTAGTTTCTAAACATCCAGACAAAGATGCTAATCTGACATTAATGGGAAATGTTTAACGTTTTATCTGGAAAAGTGACGCAGACAAAAAGATAAGCTTTATTTAAAGGTTTTCTTCAGACATTGGAGACTTTTAGAGGGTTTTTTCTCTGACCCCTTTACCCCTGTTCTTTTCTGCAGACATCACAGGATGAACATGTATCACAGACAAACCACCAGTCTGGAGTTACTCTTTTAAAAATATCCATCAGACTTCAAATTAACGTGCAACATTTTTTTTGTATCTTCTAAAACATTGAAAGGTTTTCATTTTCTTCAGTTGGCCTATAAAACGCATAATTTCCTAATTTATTTCTCTTAATCACTTTTTTCTTTTTAAATTGTATTTCCTGTATTTAATGTAATGAAACCAGTTGTTTTTGTTTATTTTTGGTTCATGCTAACTTCTTGCCAGCCT